ACCGCTACAGTAGCCCAGCAACTGCCACAACCCCTCCATCGGATCTACCTGCTACCGTAACTCTTATGGGAGTCTGTGTTGTGTCTTTATGAATGTGCTTTTGTTTTGTTGTCGTTATTCCATGCTTTTAAGCGTCACGTCTGTAATCCTTTCAATTTCAGCAATAATATTAATTTCTCGTATTGGTTTGGGTTTCCTCCGATATCACTATATGAATCCTTTGTCTTTATTGTCTGGTTGAGTGAATAAATATTATTTATGTGCTTAACCTTGCATCTCTAACACGTGTGGAATTCTGATAAAAAATACCACCATCACATTTGTAGTTTGATTGCACTTTCTTTAACTAAAAAATTAAAAATAAAGATAAAATTGTACCGGTAAAACCGATCTTCTTCTTCCAATCAACAGCAGCTTGAAGAAAATTTGCCTGCAAAGAAATACCATATGATATTTTTCAATAAACAAAAATCAGACATTCTTTCATAATTTATAAGTTTTGAAATTTTAAAAAGAAGTTACAACAATAGCGAGAGATCACAATATATCACTGAACTTCAACTTAAAATTGAAGCTCATACCAAGTGGTCAAGTTCTCTTTTCATATCAGTGTTCAAGAGAGTTTGATACCCTTCTCGACCACCCCAAAAAACATAATTTTCTCCTCCAAGATAGTGTGTGACCTAAAAAAAGATGCGCTCAGCCGAATACAAATGAAAGATAAAAACATACGTATTTGACTGATCAAAACAACTACCTCCATGGCTTTCTTGACTTGAGCTGCAGCAAAAGCATAAACTCCAACCTCAGAGCTGCAAATTCAAACTAAATAGTTAAATTTATTCATGCAAAAGGAGAAATTATGATCATGAAAAATTAGGAGAAAGCTAGACCTCGTGGCAGCACCATGCAAGTAACGAGGGTGCATGAAAAGTTGCGCTGTGCCCCATAACGGCCGGATATTATTTCCCTGCAGCATAACAAAGTCAGACATTCAACAAAAATAAATTGTTCAAGTCGTAAAAATACAATGCAAAGGATAAAGAAAATACCTTCTGAAGTTGCTTCGCAAGGGCAATTACTTCATCCAAATTTGCATTAGTTTCCTAAAAAATTACAAGGATGTACTGTTAAAGAATACAAATCTAAGATAGTAATCCTAATGAAACAAGAGCCTGGGCAAAAAACATCCTAACAAGGCTTGATCATGAATGGGGAGATTTAAAAAAGAAAAAACCTTAATTTCGTAGTTTCTACTAAGGCCCAAAAATTTT